TACCCCTTCCCCTAGCTCTTCGGGGGTCTCTCTGCCTGGCTCGCTGCCGACCACCAAGGGTTTAGGGTTTAGGATTTAGGGTTTAGGGTTCAGGGTTTAGGGTTCAGGGTTTGAAACACATGGTTCGTGTAGCACTTTGCCCACATTGTCTGATGGTTAGTGATGATTCATGGATGCGTGTATGCAGTATATGTCGAGGATAGCCTTTCCCGATGATTTTTCGACGACTTTTCCGGCGAGCGTTGAATTTTTCTGATTCAATACGTTCTCTGAAAGTTGGATATGTTGTAGATTGTGAAACTCCTTAACCAAAGATGTATATATATACTTTTTTTTTCATCGATGATTTTCCGGCGACTTTTCCGGCGAGTGTTGAATTTTTCTGATTCAATACGTTCTCTGAAAGTTGGATATGTTGTAGATTGTGAAACTCCTTAACCAAAGATGTATATATATATACTTTTTTTTTTGGTTGGCGGCAAATAGCAATTTGGTTGGCAGCAGATAGCAAGCCAAAAAGAAAGTGTGACTCAAGCAAATAACCTTTTAAATTATTGGCGGTGGAAAGCCTTTAGAATAGAACTATTTTAATCCTAAGTTGAAATTGTTTAAATCCTTACTTCCTTAGTAGTGGTTGGTCAAGAGATAAATCAAATATATAAAGAAAATTAAAGATAAACGACCATTAAATTATATTTTTCCCCGAAAAAAAAGGGCTAATACCACTGGAAATACCATACTTTAGCGAAAGTGTCATTTATATTACATAACTTTCGATATGACAATTGTATACCGACTGTTAAGTTTTCTGTTAGAAGTTAACAGAAAACACAATCATGGATGACATGGCAGATGTGAAAAATTTTAATAAAAAAATTGTAAAAAGCAAAATAAAAAAAACAAATGGAAAAAGGAAACTTTCTTATCTCTCTTGATCTCCCCTATCTTCCCTATCTCTCTCGATTGGGAATAAACTTCAATCCCCACTGTCCCCTTCTCCCTGAGCGAAATTTCATCCTTCCCCTACTCCTTTGCCGGCGACGCTTCGAGAATTGGAGGGAAAAGTGAGCGAATCGATTGATGAGATCGTGGAATGAAAATGGGGATTTCTAGCTGGTGTAGGCTCGCAAATCTCCGATTCCACCACCCAGACAGAACTGCAAATGGTTAGCATCCCTTCCCCTACCACCTTCCAAATCTCCAGCGTCCCTTCCCCTTTCAGCCGCTGCAAAGTGCAAATCCCTATCTTTTATCTCAATGACATCGCGCTTCGGATCTTGCCGGCGGAAATTACGATGGCGGTTCGATTGCGATTGGGTGGTGAGATGGAGAAGGAGATATAAGTGGAGGAGAAGAGGGATTTAGACTAGCTCTCTCGCGTCGCCCAGATCCCAGCTTGCCTGTGCAAGTGGAAGATCAGAAACGACCGCTAATCGAGAAGGAAGAAGACGAGCTCCCTGCCTCTGTCGTCAGAGCGGCGTTGGTGATCGACAGAAGAAGCAAATGGGCATAACGATGGGGAGGCGAGAGAAAGATTATTTAGAAAAAAAGTATTTTAAAATAAATTAATAATATTTATTTATTTTTGAAATAAAATTAATATTTTTAAAATAGTAATTTCTTACGTGGCACATATGCGGGTGACACCTAAGCGCCACATAAGCAATAGTCAAACATAAGTTGACCACCGTCAGGTCAACCGTCAATTCTAACGGTCAACAAAAATTTGTGTAACACAAATGACACAAACCCCTAATACGTTGGAATATTTTTGTGTTTATTGAAAGTACGTAATATAAATGATACTTTCGCTAAAGGATGGTATTTCCAGTGGTATTAACCCAAAAAAAAAACAATTAGAAAGGATAAACTAATTTTATTCCCTGCCCAATCATTTGTTTCTCGAATCATTTTACCATTCCTATGAACAAATTAGAAACACGAATCCTTTTATTCTTAACTAGCTTTTTACCCGGCCCGTTGGCCGGAGAGATTTATTTTATAATTTATATGTTTAAATTATTTTGGATCTTCTAAATATTTTGTAACAGAGTTTGTAGTATGTCTATATTGAAATTTCCAATATTTAGCACACTCACTTGTGATGCTTCGGTTTTCGAATCATAAATTATGCCGCTGTCACGTCCCGTTTAGAACTTATGTCAAAATTTGTCAACCAAAACACTAATATTTAGCGTATGCCAACCTAAACCACACACGCATATATATAGTTCAAGCTAGCGTGCGCGAGCAGTACGTTATACTCTTGCGTTCATACTACCATACGACCATTGAGTTTTACTATTTAGACCCGAATTAACCGGATTTTTTTGGGTATTATACTATACCCTAACCTCTAATAGGTGAACTCTAGTCCCTAATTCTGTAACCTCTAATTTATGCACATACTTCGTAATACCTATCTTCTATCGTATCTTGAGTTAAATAAAAAGTATAGTATACCTTGATATTACACATACATGTATATATATGTGTGTATGTATATTATACTCAAAATTATCTAGAGATCTCGCTTTTACCCCCATAACGCCAGAGAATCATTGGGTTGTCTATTGTTCGATATATAATATATAATAAGATAGGGATGACGGGATCATAGCTCGATATGGTTTTATTATGTTCATCTTATTAGAGGTTATGTTCTTTTTTGCTTTTTTGGCTTCTTTTTCATTCTACTTTAGCACCTATGGTTGTGATCAGAGGTATTTAGCCCTCGAAAGGGATTGGGATTTTAGGTCCTTTGGAAATCCAATACACATTCATGATCCTCGAGTTTGGACGAACTCTCGACCAATGTTGTAAAAATTACGACTTTTTAGTGAGAAATTCTTAGTAAAGATACTTCATTATTGGATTTATTCCTCCATATTGAAACTTGACACACATTGTAGCCCTCATGATGACTAAATTCTCTAATCTCGACTCATTTCCATTTTGGATGTTTGTTTTTTTATCGAGACACTTAAATTTAGTATATTATATCATATGTATCGTTGTTAATTTTTGAAGTTTATACTAAACCTCAACCGGCGGTCATTGTTTAATATGTTGACTTGGAATCTCAATCTAAGGCATTCACACACACTATCGAAGATTTTTGGTCTTAACATGGTCGTTGAATGTGTAATTTTCAAAGATTTTATCGTTTATATATTAATAATTGATAAAGAGTGTCTCCAATACACATATTTTAAGTGCATTTAAAATGTCTTATCATTTGAACAATATCAGTGTATTTCATTTGATTATTTGCATTAACTTATTATCTTATACAACATATATTAATTCGTTTTTCTCGAGTCTAGACGAACTGGAAACCAATTTTGAGAGTTGAGATTATTGGATAAAGATACTTGATTGCTGGATAAATATGTTTATCCCAATTGACGATCTTACTAAAAATTGCCAACCTTTATTTGGTAAATGCCTATGTTAGTAGTTGATGAAACGTGATGTTTATCGTAGATTCTGAACAAAGATTTTTCTAACCTTCACATCTATTATTTTTCAAGGAATCTTGTGTCTCATCCTAGGGTATGAATTCAAAGTTCATCAACAATCATACTTAAGTCATTTTGAAAATTTTGATTTATAATCGTCGAAGATAACTCCAAGTCTGAAAGAAAATTTCTTAACATACGACTTAGAACCTCAATAGAGCTTGCTCAATCAACATGATATAGAGCAAATATTATTAATGTGAACTTAGGTCACATTATCAAATTATTTCACATGCGATTCCTCTTCATTTGAGGAATTTAAGGTAGAACATGATCTGAATGAATAAGAATTTTTTAAAATAAATAACTGTAACTACTCGATCAAGATTATACTATGACATTTTGCTAAATAATACTGTTTTATTTTATAGATATATATTGTATGAATAAGATAGTGTTTCATTGCAACAAAATATAAAGTAATTTAGTTTATTTTTCAAAGGTAATTGAATGACAAATATTTATTTTCTCTCTTTTCATATATATTTTGGTTTAATCGATTAAATCATAATTGTTTATGTGTATGTTTGTTTATTTTTCATCAAAATGTAACTTATCATTGAATTTTAGTAAAAATGAGTAGAAAATTTATTTCATAAGGTTTAATCAGATACTTTTTATTTAAATAAATGTGATATATGCCACTCTCTTTTTTCTTATTTATATTTTGTTTATTTAAAAAAATTATTATTTATGTGTGTTTGGTTAAGTTTATCATCATGTAACTTATTATTAAAGACAAAAAAGAATAAATGGATAAATAAAAAAGAATAATTGGATAAAAGAAATGGAAATATTAAAGAAGAGAGAGGTAGCTCCATAAATACATTAATAACTAATTTTTTGTATGTAAAAAAGTTGTCCAACTTGGCAAATTGTGGATCCTCCAAGTGCTTATGTGGCAAGAATTTTTTTTTGAATTGCCATAATATATAGTATAGAAGATAGATAGATAGATATAGATAGATAGATAGATATAGATATAGATAGAAGATATAGATTGCAGCTAATGAATCTCAATTGCAATAAGAACGGTGTTCATAAGAAAGAAGGAAATAGTTTTTGTTTGTAGGGAATCATAATTTATTAGTACAATCAATAGGAATACAAATGCACCTAATAAAAATCTTGACCTAGATTGCGGTATAACATATTCAAGAGCACAAAACCTACTAAATCAGTGTCTTACCACTTAATTTTGATATATGAATCATGCCTCTTTTAATATGATCGTGTTAAAAGCGGTAAGACACGAAATTTTGTAGGTTATATAATTATGAATTTTGCACTCTATCATTTCACATTAGTTTTAGTAATTTATACCGTCACACTTTATCAATTTTCATGAAAAGAATGTACGGTTTGCATAGGCCAAAATTATCGCGATTGACAATTGACACATAGATATAGTCTCCATAAATGTATATTAAACGCAGCTCAATAAGGAGAAGTATATGTTTTTTATGGAAGGTGATTGATATGGAAACGCTCTGTACGAATTCGTCCGTCCTCCTGGCCTCAGCATCGAGTTCGGTTCCGCTGGGGCGGCCGCCGAACAATAATCTGATCGCTTCTTCGTTTGGCCTCCCTTCGGGCAATCCTGCTTCTCCAGCCACGGGGGTCACGATAGAGATGCAGGTCGACATTGAGCCCGCAAACGTGACAAGCCCCGATTTGGGGAGTGTGACGCTTGCAAAGAGGAATGGCCAAGAGATTACGTTGGACAACGAGGGTGGCCAAGGGGTCACTCCCAGCGAGGATCGTCTCGCTTTACCGGTGGCATCCTATGCTACTGCTCTAACCGGGAAGGGGCCTCAAACGAGTTCTGCCGCAACGCAATGGGTTCCAGTTGGGGAGCATGATATCATTTCGGGATCTTTCAACGGGGAGCCAAAGTTGAGGATCTCAGAAGGCTTCAAAGTGAAACTCAGTGGACCTTGGCAGCGGACACTGGTGGTTAGACTTCTTGGCAAATCTATTGGCTATAAGACTCTCTGTAATCGGTTGAAGGCACTCTGGCGGCCTTCTGGACATATGGAGGTGTTTGCGATGGATAGAGATTATTTTTTGGTTAAGCTGAGTAACGATCAGGATTACTTCAAAGGCCTCTCCGACGGCCATGGGTGATCTTCGATCACTATCTTGTTGTCCAACAATGGACGCCGGCGTTCAGGGTCTCCGATAAGCTTCCAAATACTATGGTTCTTTGGGCTCAACTTGCTGGTTTCCCGGTGCACTTTTATCACAAGGATTTGCTCTTCTCCTTGGGTAACCTCATTGGGAGGACCATAAAGCTCGATTTTCACACCTTGCACCAACAGCGTACGAGGTTCGCTCGAATTGCAGTTGAGGTTGATATATCGTAGCCGCTGGTTCCAAGAATTTGCCTCGATGGCAAATGGCAAAGAGTTGAGTTTGAGAACCTTTTGATAGTGTTTTTCGAGTGTGGGAAGATTGGTCATACTAAGGAGAATTGCCCAGTACTCTGCCCGGAGCATACGAATACATTCCCGGCAAGTTTCTCCCCAACGCCGACGAATTCTGCTGCCGAGGTGTCGCAGGAGGCTAGCTCCGGCTTTGGGCCTTGGATGTTGGTAACAAGGAAATCACGCAGGTATCAGCGAGAGTTACCTATTCAGGCGAGACCGGATCATGCGGTTGAGGCAACTAAAGTGATTTCAGCTGTACCAGAAGGGAATGAGGGTTTGACAAGGAAAGAAATCAGTGAACTTCCAATTCAGGCTGCGCCTAGGAGTTAGCAACGACAGCGAAATCCTCCGGCTCTTTCTCAGGCTAAGCATAAGGAACATGAGAGAAAGATTGATCAAGGGTTGAAAAAAGGGAAGGCTTTGTCTGTGGCTATCTCCAACGTGGAGAAAAGCTCTGGGATTTTTGGCCCAGTTCCTACTTCGGCTAGTCCAAAGTTCAAGAAGCCCAACCATGCTAAACCTAATAAGGCCTCCTCGTCTCACTAAATTGATGTTGGGCTTGAACCTGTCGTTTCTCTAGAGGCCCGGACCCAGACCTTCAGAGGTGAGAATGGGACGCGAATGACGATTATTGAGGCCCAGCCTTATGGAACCCCGACGATGAGATCAGCCGACCCGGACACCCCCTCGGCGGTTTCTCGAACGAAACAGAAGAAGGGAAGGAAGAAAGGAGATCAGGGAAGAGGGAGATAATATCAAAGAAGGGCACCCCAGTCTGTCACAATCCCTTGAGGCCGCTACAAATCTGGTCTCCTGTTAAGGATATGAGGATTAAGAACAAGGACAGGAAAGTTTCCCTCACTCTCTAGCAGATAAAAGAATGGACTGGGATGATCACTGAGAATGGGAGCAACGATGCCAAGCTGGAATCTCCTTCTCCCAATGGAGGAAAACATTCCCAGAGTAGCAGGGGAGGCGGATAGCATCACTCCGATGCCTAAGACTGTCGTGCTGGCCGCACCTCCTTCTTCCCTCTCTCTTATTTTTTTTTTGTTCTTTGCTTATGTCGATGTCTACGTCATCTGCTTTTAAAATTTTTTCCTGGAATGTTGGCGGGGCTGGTGGTCGAGCTTTCTCTTGCTCTCTTAAGCTCGCCCTCCAGCTCCATAAACCTGATATAGTGATTTTGATTGAACCGTAGGTGAGTGGCGTTGTTGCTAATGTTGTCTGTGATAGATTGGGGTTCCAAAACGTTGTTTGGGTTGAAGCTAACAGAAGGAGTGGGGGCATTTGGGTGTTTTGGGATTCCTAGGCCCTCTCTTTACAAGTTGAATCCACTGGCCAACAGCATATAACCCTGACTGTTAGCAAAAGCAGAATGCCATCCTGGAAATTGACTGCAGTCAATGCCTTGCCACGGCAACAGCTTCTACATTTTCTTTTGGAGCATTTGATTGAGCAGAGCAAGAGCACAAACTGTCCGTGGCTTCTGACGGGAGACTTCAATGCCATTATCATCCCAGAGGAGAAAACTGGCCTCGTCTCCGCCGAAACGATCAGGAGATGCAAGCGATTTCGGGATTGGGTCAATGATGCAGAGCTCATCGACTTAGGCTATTCGGGGTCGAAGTTTACTTGGACTAGGGGAACTGAGCTAGCCTCCTACAAAGCTAGTAGACTAGATATGATCCTCTGCAACCCGGAGTGGAATGAGGTCTTCCCCGGTACCTCGGTGACCCACCTTGCCCGACTGAGTTCAGATCATCATCCTATCCTAACCACTATGACGAATCAGGGAGTCCCGAACTCATCTCTTAAACGTTTTAGATTTGAGGCTGCTTGGCTCACCCATTCTGAATTCTTTTCCTTTATTGATAATTCGTGGGAAGCTCAGTCTGTTTTTCCTGTTGCTCTGTAGGAGCTTGCCGGGAAGCTTAAGGAGTGGAACTCGACGGTCTTTGGGAATGTGTTTCAGAGAAAGAGGAGGCTGGTTGCACGGATAGCTGGGATCGAACGTCAGCAGGCAGTCAGTCTCCTTCTCACCCGTCTTGCAAAGCTCCACTCTAAGCTCGAGGCGGAGCTCGACAAGACGATGGAGCAGGAAGAGCTCATTTGGTTTCAAAGAGCTCGGGAGAATTGGGTCAAGTTCGGAGAGAGGAATACAACTTATTTTCATCAGCTCACCAATATTCAAAGAAGCAGGAATAGGATTGAAGCGCTGAAGGACGAGAATGGGCGTTGGATTACTGATAAGGAGGAGCTAGCTGGGCTTGTTTTTAACTACTATTCTAGTATGTACCTGCAGGACAGTTCATCTTATTATGATCTCCTTCCAAAATGTAGATTTCCTCGGCTCAGGCAAGAAGAATGGATCCAGCTCCTTTGGTCCTTCACGATAATGGATATCCATAAGGTTGTTTTCGATATGAAGCCTTTTCAAGCGCCGGGACCTTATGGCTTTCAGGCAGTCTTCTATCAACGAACCTGGAAGGTGGTTGGAAGGGCCTTGTCTGATATGACGATCTTCTTTTTCGAGAATGGAAATATGCCTCCTGCGGTCTCAGAATCCACTGTTTTTTTAATTTCCAAGGTTGAGGAACCAGAGTCAATCACTCAACTTCGGCCCATCTCTTTGAATAATGTCAGCCTGAAGACCATAACCAAAGCTATGGTGAGCCGTCTGAAAGTAGTGATGAAAAGGCTAGTCTCGCCTTGCCAATGCAACTTCATTCCAGGACGGCAGACGATGGATAATATTGTAGTGGTTCCGGAGGTCATTCATTCCCTTAGAAAGAAAAAAAGCCAAAAAGGAGGGATGATTGTGAAGATCGATATGGAAAAGGCATATGACCGGATGTGTTGGGATTTCCTGAGAGACACTCTGGTCGAAGTTTGTTTGCCTATCTCTTGGATAAGGTGTATTATGTATTGTGTTGAGCAGAACCATATGTGCATCCTTTGGAATGGGGAGTACCTCCGGCCTATAACACCCACTCGCGGAGTCAGACAGGGAGATCCTCTTTCCCCTTACTTGTTTGTGTTGTGTATGGAACGTCTCTCTCACAAGATTGATAAGGTTGTCTGAGATAAGCTATGGAACCCCATTAGCTTATCGAGAGACGGCCCGACATTAACACATATCTTTTTTGCCGATGACTTGATTTTGTTTGCAGAGGCTAAGGTCTCCCAGGTCAGGATTATGAAGCAATGCTTGGATGAGTTCTGTGATAGCTCAAGGCAGCTGGTTAACTTCGCGAAGTCTGTCATCTATGTGTCCCCTAACATTTACCAAGCGAGAGCTCGACGTCTAAGTAACAAGGTAGGCATCCCCCTTGCAGCTAGCCTTGGAAAGTACTTAGGCATCCAGACAATCCACAATAGAGTAACGAGGAACAGATATCAAGGTCTCCTGCTGCAGATTAAGAAGAAGCTCGCGCCTTGGACGGCTAGGAGGCTCTCGCTTTCTGCACGGATGACGGTCACTAGATCAGTATCTCTCTCTATCCCTACCTACCCTATGCAAACTGAGTTACTGACTGTTAACATTTGCAATGCTATAGATAAAGTCAACAGGGATTTCATCTGGGGAAAGGAAGAGGAAAAAGGGAAGATCCATCTGGTGCGTGGGATAAGCTTGCTGAACCTAGAGCTCAAGGTGGAGGCGGTCTCCGATCAATCCGACATGCTAATCTGGCTCTGCTTGCCAAAGGAGGATGGAGGATGCTTAAGGAAAAAGAATGTCTTTGGACGCAGGTCATGAGAGCAAAGTACGGGAAGCATCGGGAAGGTCTGGATATCCTGAAGCCAGTAAAGGGAAGTTCCTTCACCTAGAAGAGCTTTACAAAGGATTCAACTCTTTTACAGAAGGATTGTGCATGGAATATTCACAATGGGAGAGGCACTAAATTTTGGCGTGATCTCTGGTTGTTGCAGGAACCTCTGATCAAGATGGCGCTTCAACTAATTCCGGAGGAGATGATTGACGAGCCCGTTGCAGCCTACCTAGATGAGGAGGTTTGTTGGGACATTAATTGTTTGGAGGACTGGCTTCCTCCTGAAGTACTCCAAAAGATCACGACTAGCTTTGCAAATCCTTTGACTTAGGAAGAGGACACCCTCTTCTGGACGGCCTCCTCAACAGGTCACTTTACGACTAGTACGGCATATCAGCTGGCCTACCCTCCGAGGAATGATCGTAATGAGAAGATGTGGAAGACTATTTGGAAGCTCCAGGTTGCCGAAAGGATAAGATGTTTCACCTGGCTTGTGGCATAGGGGCGGATTGCCACTAACGTCCTTCGCTTCTCCAGGAGAGGTGCAGCCTCCCCCATGTGTCAGAGGTGCAGGAATGTTCAAGAATCTATTACTCATCTTGTGTGAGACTGCTATCCAACTCGATTCTGCTGGTTGAGATGGATCCCTCAAGCCGATCAACAGAGTTTCTTTCAGAGTAGCCAGGAGGAGTGGTTCCAAGGAAAAATTCTCAAGGACGACACGATGGACTCTGGTATGCAGTGGAATGCTTTCTTTAGTATTGCTATTTGGCTGATTTGGAAGAACAGGTGCACAAGTTGCTTCAAAGGGCTGCAGATGGTGCTTTCTGCTCCTTCCTTAGCGCACTCCATTCAGCAGAAGGCTTTCATCTGGCACAAAGCTTGGCAGGCGCCTACCATTACCTTGGGCAGTAGGGTTCCAGGACGGAGAGATCGATGGCGTACATACATTGGTGCTTCCCTCGCAGCGGGTGGCTCAAGCTGAATGTGGATGGAGCCTCGGAGGGCAACTCGGGACTTGCAGGTGCTGGGGGCATCATCCGGGATGAGTGTGGGAAGTGGGTTGCGGGCTTCGTTGCAAAGATTGGAGAAGCTTTGGCGGCCCTTGCCGAGCTCTGGGCTATCATGTATGGGCTTCAGCTTGCCCATAAAGTGGGATGCGCGTTCATTTTTGTTGAGTCGGACTCTCAGTTAGCCGTCGGCCTGATCAACGGCCGGCATGATCCGGTGCACCCCTATGCTTCGATCCTGGCCTTGATCCGGAGGCTCTTAGCTTAGGATTGGTTGGTTCGATTGGGACATGTCTACCGGGAAGGGAATAGAGCCTCGGAATGGCTCTCGAAGCACAGTCTCGTCTATCCCACTGGTATGCATGAACTTTTCGAACCTCCTCCTACTTTGGTTTCCATCCTTAGGGAGTCTTCCACTGACAGTTCTGAGAAGACTCCCTCCAATGCCTTCACAGCAGCAGCAACCTCCGAATCTGCAAAAAGGTGTATAAAAATATTAGTAACACAAACAAAATTAGTTGTACGAAAATAAGGAGGTTTAGTTGCATGTTACCTCATTGCATGTCTTCCATTATCCAGCTATGTCTGCACTTTCAGAAGCTACAGATGTAATTGGGATTGCCAAAAAGTCCCTTGCAATCGCTTGCAAGGTGGGATACTTGAGACCATTCAATTTCCACCACAAGAGCATATCAAAGTCTAATGTCCGAGGAATAATATCCTCAACAAGATACATATCCAACTCAGTAGTAATCAAAGAACTCTTGCTCTTTTTCCTTTGACTGACAAAGAGCTCAAAGTCAAGTTCAGTAGCCAAGAAGTATCCAGAACTACCAGAAGAAGTTCCAGTTTCAGAACCAGACTTCTTCTCGGCTTTGGTTTGATAATCAAGAATCAAACCACACATAATCTTCTTGATATTTTCAGCAACCAGATCAGTTTCCATACTCCCAAACTTTCCAGCATAGTATTCAATCACATGGAGCTTATATCTAGGATCCAAAACAATCGAGACAGCAAGTACAAGATGGATATCATCCCAGTACTTGTCAAACTTCTCAGACATTTGACTGGCCATTCCAAAAATCACAGGGTTGGGATCAAGACCCCACTCATTCAGTTTCAGTCTCAAGTCACAAATCTTTGGGAAGAAAAGATTGCCAGTCGGATACTTGGAACCAGAGAATAACTCAGTTATCTCAGAGAATATTTCCAGCTTATCAATCACAACAGATGCAAATTCCCAATGAGAACTAGAAGGAACAGAGGTGTATTGACTGTCCCTCAAACTCAAACAAAAGAAAACATCCTTTTATTGAAGAGCAACAGAGAGCATATGGTATGTGAAATTCCATCTAGTTGGACAATCAAGTACCAATTTTTTCTTAAAGGTCAACTTTAGTTGCTTAACAACTTCAAAGAAGGTTTGAACCCTCTTAGGTGTAGAATTCCAGTAAACTACACTCTCTCTGATCAAATGTATAGCATCCTTGATTGCATCCAACCCATCCCTCACAATCAAGTTCAGAATATGAGCCGAACACCTCATATGAATCAATTTTTCATCAAGCAACAGATCGCTGTTCACTAGTTTATTTCTCATATGAAATATCATTGAATCATTGGTGATACAGTTGTCTAGTGTGATTGAGGACAACTTACCATCAATGTTTCAATCAAGAAGAGATTCAAACAACCTATCAGCTAGTCTTTGACTGGTGTGAGGGGCTGGAACATACATAAACCTCAACATTATGTTACGAAGCTTCCATGAGTTGTCAATAAAGTGACCAGTAACTGCCATATACACCATTTTTTGATTTGTGGCAGTCCACAAATCAGTAGTCACTGAAACCCTCCCCAAGTTACCATCAATCATGGTCTGATATTTAGACCTTTCAACCCCATACAGACCCAGAATATCCTTTTTCACAGTGTTTCTACTAGGGACAACAAATTGAGGTTGAAGAGAACAACAAAAACGTTTGAAACCCACATCATCAACAAGGCTAAGGGGGTACTCATGGACCAGAATCATTGAACAAAGTTCCTTCCTAGAAACCTCATAATTGTATTGAGAAGCAGAGAGTTGAGGATTTCTAGCAGGTTGATAGTTGGGGCCAAGTATTTTTTGAGAACCATCATGTATCCTCTTCTATATACATGTTTTTATATGGTTTCTCAGGTGTGAAGTTCCATTACTGGTTTCCCCACCAAGGGGTTTACGATAGTACTTATACCTAGCTTTCATTACCCCATTAATCCTAACTCTGTGGAAGTGAGGCCACACATTAGAGGTTAACTTACGTTGTGCTTCTAGTTCTTCCTCATTACCATTAACCAAATTATTGGCAATAGGAGCAGGTTGTTCAGGTTGTACACCATTTTGACATAGACATTAGGAACATGATCCACATTCATTTGATTTGCACCTTCGATCTGAATAAAATCAAGTTATTTGAATACGTATTAGTTAACGATCTGCAGTTTTACTTGCTACTGTTTAGTTATAGTGTTCTACTGCTTTACATTGAGAAGACACACAAAATCACGTAGCAATACCATTATCATTTCAAAACAGGTTACAAATTCATGAATCTAACCTAGTAAGTTTAACTTTTTCTTACAATAAATAAGTATTCAATCACAATAACCTAGCAAGTCACACAACCACGCAAGCAAGACAACAAGGTTATGAAAGGAGAAGAGGATTACCTACCTTGAGATTATTTGTAGTCTGTAGATTGTTGATTGTACTTGGTCAATGATCTGCAGCCCTTGAGGATCTATTCCAAAGGTCGCTACAAACACCAAAAACAAATGGACAAGAACAAATGACAAACACAAAATCAAAGTTAGAACTCTCAATCCTTGCATGTCTCTTCATACACCACTAAACCAAAAAAACAACACCAAGACCCCAGAGAGATTACCTTCTGAACAACTTAATGAGTCTTCTGAAGAATGTCGAGCACACAGTCATCAGTCGATTCCTTCCTTGATCTTCAATCCTCTAAGATCGAATTAAACCGAGTCTACAAAAACCAAAAAAGGGAATGAACAACAAACAAAACTAGTTAGTACTGTGCATGCAAGTCTATATTGACACCACGAACCCAGAAAAAGAACACAAGAAATCAAGACCTTACCCAGAAGAACTTGGTCTCGAGTCCCGTCTCCGCCTCTTTGTCTCTGCCAAGAACTTGGTCTTGAGTCTCGTCTCTGACTCTCTGCTCGCTGGGGACTGGGTGTTCTAGATGTAAGAAGATGGCCATATGATGAGAAACGAAGGTAGAACACTCGCTAGGAAATTCTCCCTATATATAGCAGTAGAAGAGTCAGTTCATATTTTGGGTCTAACCTCAAAAATCGAATGAAAATAAAAGAAAGAAAGAGATGAGAATCCTTATCTGTCAACGAAGAATTGGCAATTTGGGAGCATGATTCAACTCCTAACGACTCTTTTCTGGGATGTGGTCGACGAAATCGTCGTCGAATGGTTGCTCCTCTTGCCATTTGATTGGAGGAATTGAAGATAAATGACAAGGGGAATAGGAGAAAGTCTCTGGATTTGGCGATTTGGAGAGGGGAAAGGGCGAAAAATCTGTTCAATCGCGATCTTTTTGCGATCTGATCGCCAGAGAGGGAGAGAGAAAGAAGGAATTAGGGTTTCTTTCGTTTTCAAAGGAATGGATCGAATGAACGAGGCGGCTGGATGAACTAGGGTTAACTCGGAGTGAGGAGGGAATATATACCTCGAGCAAAACTACGACGTTTTGCGAGACGGGTAATCCGTCGGGCGGGTTATGGGGCGGATAGTTCTCGATCCGTCACCACCCGAGACCCATTGTTCACGGATATCGGTTTCATCGCGGCCCGTTGACGGGCCTCAAACCAGCAACCACCATGCCCAAATTCGGGCGGGCTTCGGGCGGGTATCCGCTTGCGGACCCGGGCCTGCCATCCCAAATCGCAGTCTAAACTGATAAGTGATTTATAGCGTTATAAAATAGTTGAACCACGGTCACAATTTCAAGTTTTCAACAGATATATCCCCTCAATGACTTTTCCCGTACAGCCTCTCATATAATATTATAATCTTTGTTTTTTTTTTGTCTAAGTTACCGCGGATTTGACCTAACTTATGTAAGTATACCGAAATAAATTACTACAAATTTTAACTTAATTTGTGTACAGTTACATTAATTTATGGGGTGATGCATCTGGACTAAAGCCTTCACCCAAATCAGTTTCGGTCTATTCTGCAACAGTCTTAAGTATGATGTTAAAAGTAAAATTTGACACCTTGCAAAATAGTAAAACACTGTTGATACATGTCTTTCGTTTTCATATAAAATTTTGAGTGTTATATAAAATTTAAAGTGATTACTTGAAGAATGAGATGTTTACATTACTTTATGGATTCCCAAAAGATCAGTATCTATATCTCAAGCCATATCCACTGTCATTGCTTTTGCAATAAAAGCTAATTAATTTATAATCAATAACTTCCTCCTCTTTGACATGACTAAATGGATAATAACATACGAAAACCATGAATAGAAATTCAATTAAAAAAGGATATTTTTAATTATTGTTTACGTAATCACAAGTCCTTCACTAAAGTCTAAAGACGATATCTCACCATCTCTCGTAATTTGAGTACAATTTACAGGATTTATTATATAAAAGGTAATGCTTGAAGTGTTCAATTAATTAATAAAAGAAGTGTCCAATTAAACTCTCTAGAAGAAATCAGTATTTTTTTATAACGATCACTGACTTTTACTTTCAGCGAGGGAATGGTTACTGAAAAAATTTAATCATTTATCATGTTATTTTAACCGATATTAATACTGTTTATAATAAATACATTAGTGAATTCCGATATTGATGTATTTTTCATCAAAAGATAAATACATTCACGCATTGTGTACTTTTATATCTGCTTAGTTTCTCAAGCAGAGATTTTGCCTACACAAAATCACTAGAAAGTGGATTCCAATTTTATTCCATATACCATTAGTTAGCATGTCTTTGATAATTCACATACTTCGCATCTGTTGTAAACTCTCCCTTTGATCATCACCCTTCCATCCTAACCTCCACAGGCACCTTTTGGAACGGTGAAATCGTCGTGTTATATTTGATCCAAACAACAAGATCTTACCTAGTTAGATATAGGCGAGTCTCGATGCCAGTTACATATTTGAATGAAACTTTAACCAGGGTACACTAGAAATGAATCAACCACGGTCGACACATAAC